TGCCAGGCAGTATCGGTGGGTGAGAAGGTACTTTTCTAATCCCAACACAGGCCTTTTCTTTGACTAAATGGTCACTTCATAAAATTCAAAACTCCTTTATTGAGATGTTATCTTTAATGGGTTTGGAAGGAATACTGTTTGTCAAGATTGATGTATTTCTAAGGGGTGGCTCAAGACATAGTGTGTTTAATGTGCTGCAGTGCTCCTTGGCTCCCAGTTCTGTTGCTTGAGGAATATACATTGCAGTGTCCTCATCCTTCACTCCCCGGACTCAACAATCCCTCCGCCCACTCTCTATTTCTTTCTTTTTATTTTTTTTCAGGTCTATCATAACACAATTAATTTTTGTTTTGTTTTATTTTATTTTATTTTATTTTTATCCTCACTCGAGGACATTTTTCCATTTTTTGTTCAGATAGAGTGGGAGGGAGAGAGAGGATGAGAGAGAGAGAGAAACATCGACGTGAAAGTGACTCATCGAGTGGTCGCCACCCACATGACCTAACCAGGGCTGGGGACAAATTGCAACCGAGGTACGTGCCCTTAGCGGGAACTGAACCCTGGTCTCTCTGGACCACAGGTTGACGCTCTAACTGCTGAACCAAACTGGCCAGGGCTTATTTTATTTTTTAATATTTAAAAATTTATTTATTTATTTCCCCCCCTCAATTATTATAACCCAATGTAAAACACACTTTTTATGTCAATCCAGTTTTAAAACATTTAAGTGTAAAGAGTTTGTCTAGACTTCTGCTTGAACTATCTTCTTTAGAACTTAAGTAGCTAACAGTATAGATCCTGGAGTCATACTGCTTCCAAATTCAAGCCTTACTATGTCCTGTGTGACCCTCAGCAAGTTACTTAGCTTTTTTAGACCTCAGTTTCCTTATCTGTAAAGTGGATATTTTATTTTTAATCATTGCATTATTGTAAGGATTGAGTGAGTTTATACAAGTAAAGACCTGAGAACAGCTCCTGGCGCACAGAAAGTAGAATGGATTAAACAGAATCATTTGTTTGTAGGTCTCTGTATTAAATAATTGCCAAAATGATCTCTGTTGTCAGAAGTGTCTCATTTCTTTTGGGCTGTGTTTTTACCTTTCAGATGAAGTTTGTCTTTTAAGTAATCTGGCTTTGGTCCCCATCTTGGTCATCTATATTTATAAAACCCAAACCAAAACAAACAAAACATTTGTTAAAAAATCCAAACCAAGCCCTGGCTGGTTTAGCAGTTAGAGCGTTGGACCTTGGACCAGAGAGTTGTGGGTTCGTTTCCAGTCAAGGGCATGCACCTTGGTTGCAGTTCAGTCCCCAGCCCTGGTTGGAGTCATGCGGGAGGCAACCATTTGATGTGTTTCTCTCTCTTTCTTTCCTTCCCTCCCACTCTATCTGAAGATGAATGGAAAAATATCCTCAGGTGAGGATTTTAAAAATCCAAACCAAAACTTTTCAACTTTGTTAAATCTATCTTTTAGAAAAAACATTTTTATTGATTTGGAGAGAGAGAGGAAGGGAGGGGAAGAGAGAGAGAGAGAGAGAGAGAGAGAGAGAGAGAGAGAGACATTGATGTGAAAGAGAAACATCCATTGGCTGTCTCCTGCACAGCCCCTACTGGGGATGGAGCACGCAACGTGGGCATGTGCCCTGACCAGGAATCAAACTGGCAACCTTTCAGCATGGGATGATGTTCAACCAACTGAGCCATACCAGCCAGGGCAAATCTATTTCTTTTTTATTGCTCATTTTAAACAAGGAAAATCTGGTATTCTGGTTTCAAAGTAAATAAAGCTATAGTAAATTAGTTGGACTAAGGGCACTTTTAAAGAAATAACTGATAATTTATTGCTCTGTGGCAAATATAGATACTGCAATTCCTTTTTATTGGCCCAAACAGTCATCAGTTTTAAACACATAACAAGACCTATCTGGCACGTAAACTTGTGTGTTTGTTCTAAACCCTATTTTGTCCATTAAGAAAAAAATAAGTTCTATTTTCCATGTCATAGGAAACCAGTAAGAAAAGACGTTTTATTATTATTTTTTCCTTTATCGAATTTTTTTTTTTAGAGAGAGAGGAAGGGAGGGGGAGAGAGAGATGGAAATATCAATGAGAGAGAACATCGATTGGCCGCCTCCTGCATGCCCCCCACTGGGGATGGGCCCACAACCGAGGCGTGTGCCCTGACTGACCTCTTGGTGCATGGGTCAACGCTCAACCACTGAGCCATACTACGTGGACAAGAAAAGACTTTTAAAAATTTTAAACTGATGAGGTAAGCTAATAAATAGGAGCGTAAGTTAGGATTCATTCAGTTTCACCAGTGGCATCCTGAAGGGAGCATGACTTTTGGTCTTTTGAAAAGCACAAAATGCCTTCATGCTTCCTGACATAATTCTACACTCATTTTATAGTGTCTTGACTCAGAGATGCCCCATCTATAGAGACTGGTTTGTAACCTTAAAAACGGAGGAAATTTCCTTTACAGGTTCAGACTGAGAGGCAGCGGGTTTCGTGTAAAAAGATGGGTTCTACACTCAGAGAGAAAGGTTCAATCCTGCTCCTGACAAAACTCAGGCTAATTAAGGAGCCACTCTCAGCCTGTGTTTCTTTCCTGTGGCACGTGGCTCCTACTCGCCTAGGTCTGTGGGAGTAACTGTGCCACAGAGGCAAGCATGTTTTACTGACTGGTCTTGGCGTCAGCTGCACATACATGTGTAGTGTTAATAAAATTTCACATCTCCATATTTGTGTAGCAAGGGATGCAAACGGCATCCACCGACATGCAAATAGTCGATATTACCATTGTTAGGGAAACCTGAAACCCAGCAAGACGGGGCCTGCATTTAATGGTAGGAACTAGAAGGGCATTTAGGTTCAAAGCAGTGTGAAGGTGAGATTCGTGGCCTTCCCATGGTGACTGTGTTGGTCTTGATCAGAGGAACAGAAAAACTTCATTTGAAGTGAATAGCTCTGTGGAGTTGTCTCAGTCTGTGAGGGGGCCTCTCTCAGATGAGAACCTTGCAGTTTTTGCAGGAAGGGTAGAATGTGCTGGGGAAAGCTGTCCACATGCTGTGTGTGCGCATTAGGAGTAAATCACGGTGCTCTTCCTGCTGTTCGGGACTCTATTGACATTAAAATGTGCTCACAACTTATAAAAATCATTAAGGATTCCATTTGCACCTCCCTGGTGGGAAGTTAAGAAAGAAAACCATGCCAGCCAATGTACATTTCAAATATTTACAATTCTACACGTTCTCTCCAGGCATTACTCTGGCAGTATCCCTCTGAGAAATTAGTGTCGACACAGAATAGCCTTCCCCAAGGCCAGCATTTTATTAAAGAAACCTCAGCCACTTCTTTCTCCATTGTCCCCCAGAACCCTGATCTCTTACCTCTGACACGCATGCTGGAGAATAAGAAGGGGAAGAAAGGGCAGGACAAAGAAAGGGAGGGAAGGCAGTGGGAAGGGAGAGGAAGGGAAGAGAGGAAGCACGAAGGGAAGGGAAAACAGTAACTGGCATTTAGCAGCCTGCTCAGTAAATGTTTACACCAAGCCTCCACCGGCACCTTCCATTCTGAACCTCAGCTGAACTGTAGTTTCAGTAACGAGGGACAAAGTATAGCAATAATGATGGCTTGTACATGTTCTACATGGAAGAAAATATGGAGAATAGCAAACTTTAATGCTCTAAAGATCACTCCTGGACAAATGAAAGATTAAAGGGAGACACAAAGACAATTTCTTAGGCCCTGGCCGTTTTGGCTCACGGGTTAGAGCGTCGGCCCAGGGACCAGAGAGGCCCGGGTTTGGTTTCCGCTAAGGGCACCTACCTCGGTTGCAGTTTGTCCCTGGCCCCAGTTGGGGTTATTTGAGTGGCAACCAGTCAGTGTGTCTCTCTCACATCGATGTTTCTCTCTTTCTTCCCCCCTCTCTCCCTCCTGCTCTAATGCAAAAATGTCCTCAGGTGAGGATTAAAAAAAAAAGACAATTTCTTAGCAGTAAAATTTGTCAACTGATGGAGAAGGGCAGTGCAAATGATTTTGGAATTTCTTTTCTAGAAGAATATTTTAAAATTGGATAGGTTTTTACTTTTCTGGCATGGTTAGAAGAAGCCCACCTGAGGGCGAGAAGCACTGCATCCTGAAAGACTGTGAAGTCTTGTCCGGCCGGTGTGGCTCAGTGGTTGAGCGTCAACCCATGCACCAGGAGGTCGCCGGTTTGATTCCCAGTCAGGGCACATGCCCAGGTTGTGGGCCAAATCCCCAGTGGGGGGCATGCAGGAGGCAGTCAGTCGATGTTCTCTCTCATGGATGTTTCTATCTCTATCTCACTCTCCCTTCCTCTCTCTCTAAAATCAATAAAGAAAAAAAATTTAAAATGACTGTGAAGCCTTTAGATGGAAAGAAGGAAACTTTATGGACAGTGGGGGTGTGGGTAGCAAAAAGGGGTAGAAAAGGGAATCCAAGGAGAACTGCTTGTTTCGCTTCAAGATGTGCACTAGCCCTGGCTGGTGTGGCTCCGTTGGTTGAGCAATGTCTTGTGCACCAAAGGGTCTTGGGTTTGATTCCAGGTGGAGGCATGTGCCTGGGTTACAGCTCAATCCCCGGTGGGTGGGGGGCAGGTCAGAGGAAGATGATCGATGTTTCGATTTCTTTCTCTCTCTCTCTCCCTTCGTCTCTCTATAAAAACTCAATACAATCATTAAAAAATGAAAAGATGTGAACTAGGTTAACATGCAGGGATTCCTCTTCACCCCCACCAGATTGATATTGTTCTGAAAATATATCTGATGGTGTATTCCAGCACCAGAACTGGGGACTGAATGGTTATGTCACTATTCTCTCTCTCTCTCTCTCTCTCTCTCTCTCTCTCTCTCTCTCTCTCTCTTGTGGTACGTGCCCCTAGCGGGAACCGAACCCAGGACTCTCTGGTTTGCAGGCCGACGCTCAACCACTGAGCCAAACTGGCCAGGGCTATGTCACTATTCTCAAATGACAGGAATCACCACAGTGCTGACCATGTCCACGATTATCTCGGGCATGAGTGCCTCCATGCCACAGGTGTCCTACATCAAGGCCGTGGACGTGTACCTGGGCGTCAGTCATTGAGTACGCAGCTGTGAACTACCTCACCACAGTGGGAAAATGGAAACAGTTCAGGAAGTCCCGAAAGGTACTGCCTTGCCTTGGTGATCACACCCCTTTAAGAATGTGAAAATCATTATCCTCGTCAAAAATACTCTCCTGCCTCACTGCTATGGCTCAGCCGGCTGAGCTTCTCCTGTGCACCAAGAGGTCTCAGGTTTGATGCACATGCCCAGATTGCAGGCTGGACCCCCAGTAGGGGACATGCAAAAGGCATCCTATTGATGTTTCTCTCATTAGCGTTTCTATTTCTCTTTCCCTCTCTCTCTAAAAAATCAGTAAAAAAATATTTTTAAAAAATGCTTTCCTGATAGTGTTGTCAGGCCTTGTATTAAGGACACATCTCTTGTTAAGATGCAAGTTTACATGAACTGGACAGTTTAACATTGAACTTGCCTCTCTGTGCTCTGTGTTGACTGGTTTCCTCAGCATCCTCATTCACCTTTGCCAGGTGTTTTTTTTTAATGTGAGGATTTTTGCTCACTGTGCTAACTCAGTCACTGGGAAAAAGGGGGTAGATGTACAAACCACATCCTTTCAAGTAGATGACAATGATAATAATAACAGCTAACATTTAATGAGTATTTATTGGGTATTGGTATTGTGCTAACCATTTCACATATATTATGCCATTTAATTCTCAATATAAACCCAAGTAAACTTTATCACCTCATTTTATGGCAGGTGGGTAGTAAGTTGGCTGAGATCACAGAGCTCCAGAGGAGTCAGGATTTGCTTCTGGGTCTCCCTGACTCCAGATGTGCTCTCAACCAACAAATGACATGTTTCTCTCTGCCAAGAGCTAGGATTCCCTTTCTCTTCTTGTTTCTTGGGAGAGTGGGAGCACGAAGGGAGGATCTCCCCACGGTACACTGGAAAAAGGTGCCTTCTGGGCTTTAAATGTTATGACATGGTTTTGTGATGTCGCTTAACCAATTGGATAGATCGATCTCTATCTGCTTCATTTCACAAAGGATTGGGGCACCAGTCCCCTGTCGTCACGAGAACTGACATACGATACTGTACTTTAGACACCTAACTGATCAAATTAATTCATTTGCTAACATATACCTAAGGGAATAGATATGTAAATATACATATATGTACATACTTATACACAGGATTTTAATGTAACATATTCACATTGGTTTAAGAAATTCTTATATGAGCCCTGGCCGATTTGGCTCAGCGGTTAGAGCGTCAGCCTGCGGTCCACAGAGACCCGGGTTCGGTTCCCGCTAAGGGCATGTACCTTGGCTGCAGTTTGTCCCTGGCCCTGGTTGGGTCATGTGGGTGGCGGCCACTCGATGTGTCCCTTTCACATCGATGTTTCTCTCTCTTCCTCTCTCTCCTTCCCGCTCTATCTGAGTGAAAAATGGAAAAATGTCCTCGGGTGAGGATTAAAAAAAAAAAAAGAAAAAAAAGAAATTCTTATATGAGCATTTATAAACACCCAAAACATTATTATTATTATATTTTTATCCTCACCTGAGGACATTTTTCGATATTTTGTTCAGATAGAGTGGAAGAGAGAGAGAGAGAAACATCGACGTGAAAGGGACACATCGAGTGGTCGCCACCCACACGACCCAACCAGGGCCAGGGACAAACTGCAACCAAGGTAGCGCCCTTAGCGGGAACCGAACCCGGGTCTCTCTGGACCGCAGGCCGACGCTCCAACTGCTGAGCCAAACCGGCCAAGGCCCAAAACATTATTTTATATATTTTGTATTTCTAGTGAGAGCAGTCATACTTTTGAGAATGTTTTTATGTCCTCTTCTCCAACTGAACCCTCATATCAGCTTCCTGATGTAGGCCTTGCAGAGATTATTATTTCTGTTTTAAAAATGAAGAAGTAGAGTTTTAGTGAAGTAAAGCGATTTACAGCCAACAGAGCTTCGAAGGCAATTCAATCCTTTTGCAATACTTACTTAAATCTTTCATTTTATGTCCTTGGAGTTGAAGCTGTAACAGCATCTTGTTTTGCATTATTGCAGATGCTCAATTTCTTTTGTTGAAAGCATGTGACTCTGTGTCCCTGTCACAAACATACCCCACAGGGACTGGTATGCAGGGTGAGAAACCCAGAGCTTACAGACAAATGTGCAGTGATGGGTGCACAGGCATTGCGAGGAGCCTGTCACAGCTTCATTCAGTAGGTCTGGGGTGGGACCTGTGAGTTTGCACTGTTAACAAGCCCCGGAGGCTGCTGATCCATTGCCCACACTGTGAATAGTAATGATTTAGATCATCTGTGAAGTGAAAGGTGACAGAGGAAGATGCGTGACAAGGGAAAGAATTTGCTGTTACTGTTGTGTGCTCTTGTTTTCCTTTTATGTGGGAAGTGGTGAACCTGAGACAGAGACAGTGAAGGGTTGTGTCCCTCTCATCTGGCTACTATCAGTTTGTTCTCTGTGTGTCCTGTGACTTTAATATATCTATGTCTCCTCACCCCCACCTGCCACACAACACGTGATCACCCTGGATTTCCTTTCCCACCTGACGGGATTGTACACAATCTCCTTGTGTGCCACTAAAAAGAGATTCTTTTAGGTTAATAAACATCATTGCTTTTTGCCTTCTGTGCCCCAACTGGGGATTGAACCCGCAACGTAGGTATGTGCCCTGACCAGAAATGGAACCCACAGCCTTTTGGTGTACGGGATGATGCTCCAATTGACCGAAGCACCCAGCCAGGGCAATTACTTTTTGTTTCTAATTGTAGTAAAATACAAATAAGATAGAACTTACCATCTTAACCATTTTTAAGTGCATAGTTAAGTAGTTAAGTATATTCACATTGTTGTGCAACCCATCTCCAAAACTGTTTCATCTTGCAAAATAGATTCTGTACCCATTAACCTTCCCCCCACTCCACCTCCCCTCAGCTTCTGGAAACCACCACTGTAAGCATCTTCCTTTAAAGGTGTAATTATCTCAAAGAAATAGTCTACCTGACATTCATAAAGTGGTTAGACGAAATGAAAGAGCACACGATTTGGAGTCAGAAGAAGTGATGCCAAACCTAACTCTACCACTCCTAGCTTTGTTTTCAGGTTATTTCTCCTAAACTTCATTATACATTTGCAAAATTGTGGGATTTCTTCCCTCTTTATTTCACAGGGCTGTTGTGAAGATCAAATGATATAATAAAAAGGTCAGAAACTTTTGCAAACTATAAAGTGCTACACAAGTGTTATGTTCGTGTTGTGATTAGTGCCCAGAGCACATGATGGGAAGGACTAGGTGTGCTAATAGGGATAGGGGAAACAGCTGTCTGAGACGAGCAGCCTTTCGAGGGGTAGGATGCCCTAGTGAGGAGCAGGGCAGGAATGTATCTGTGGGTTTAGGGCTAATCAATGATACCCCTCTCCTCATAACTGGGACACCAATTTTATTTTTTTTTTAAATATGATTTTATTGATTTTTTTAGAAAAGGAGTGGGGTGGGGTGGGAAACATCGATGTGAGAAACATCCATTCGCTGCCTCCTGCACGCCCCCTATGGGGATCGAGCCCACAACCCTGGCGTGTGCCCTGACTGGGAATCGAACCAGGACCTCTCAGTCCGTGGACGACACTCAATCCACCGAGCCGCACGGCCAGGGCTCCCTTTCCGTTTTCACTCAGTCCTCCGACTTCCCTCTCATCTGGCTACCCCCAGTTTGTTTTCTATATCTATGAATCTCTTTCTGTTTTGTTTGTTTATTTTGTTTTTCAGATTCCACATACTAAGTGAAATCATATGGCATTTGTTTTTCTCTGACTGACTTATTTCTAGTCTCCATGTCTTTTGAATTAAGTAAAATATTAGGTTTTTCAATACTATGAACCAAATACACATTTTGGCAGAATTTACTCTACTTCCTCCAACTTGAATTCTGAATAATTTCATCTAGTAGTGGCCTGTTCATATTTGTTCATTTTTTAACTCCCCTATAGATCAAGAAGTGATTGTTGTCTCAGAAAGCAATTAGTAACAGCTGCTTCCTAGACACTGCTCTGTACCAAAGAGAATCACTGTCTCCCTCAGAGTTAAACCTTAAAGAGAAATGGTAGTTCACGTTTAACCAGGCGCTGGGGCCAGAAAGCAACGAAAGTGCGCTCCTTCCAAAAAATAAGCTAATTTCAAGTTATTTATTTGGGTTATGTTAGTGTCATTTCTAGGTACTTTTCAGCAAAAATGGGAAGGCTTGGCCAATTTGCATTTTAAAAGAGCAACTAAAATATTCCTAACCCCCACCCCAAATTTAAGCATAAATGGATCACCAGCTGATACTGTTGTTTTTGGACAAAACATACCGACTGGGCATACTATTATGTTTTCTCTGAAGAGGAAAAATACATCGAAAAGCAAACCAAATTGGCTTATGTTGCTCTTCTGATAAAACATGTTCAATTTCAAGTCAGAAACTTATGCCAAGCATTTCACACTACTCAGAAAGGAAGGGGGAAAGCCAAAACTGTTTCCTTCTAGTTAGAAAACACTGACATTATAGTTTTGTAACATTTATTTATATAATGCTCAAATATCTCTATGGAAAAAATTATAAACCTTGTTAAACCCCTATTAAAAATGGATCTCCAAAATAATGCTTTCCATTTATTATTAAAATGACTTTTAGTCAGACACCAGAAGCAAAACCAGAATTCTTTAAAAATAAGCAAAACATTCTTAGCATTTATTGAAACTATTTTAAAATCCTTAATATTTAGATTTTCACTGTAATTTCTATTCATAAAACCATATTTAAGACTTACTAACAGCCCTGGCCAGTTTGGCTCAGCAGTTAGAGCGTAGGCCTGCAGTCCTGAGAGACCCGGGTTCGGTTCCCGCTAAGGGCACGTACTTCGGTTGCAGTTTGTCTCCGGCCCTGGTTGGTCGTGCGGGTGGCAGCCACTCGATGTGTCCCTTCGCGTCGATGTTTCTCTCTCTCTCTCCCTTCCTCTCTCTCCCTCCCACTCTACCTGTACAAAAAATGGAAAAATATCCTCGGGTGAGGAAAAAAAAAAAAAAAAGACTTACTAACAGAAGTCTTTTTTATCAGATTTCTGGAATGTACAATATTGA